GGGATTCTGCGGGGAGGTAAGGTAGACGGCTACGACGAGGATGGGCGGGTTCCCGTCGCGGGGCCGGTTGCCACAGCAACGGCGGTGCACGCGCACGGCCACTGCCCGCGCATAGAGATGACGCTGCGGCCGGTCGCCATGGCGATGCGCTACACAGGTCTGCTGCCGCTCGTCACGCCCGCCGGCGGATGCTGCACGCGGGTGGCGCCCCTCGCGGCGAGCGTCCTCATCGCCATGACAACCGTTTCCATCTCGGTGCGTCTGCCGGTGCAGTTTGGCGTTATGCTGGACTTCAGCCTGGATCAGCTGTTCATGATGCTGTCGCACCAGGCTCTTCCCTGGTTAGAAGCTGCCCTCTACACGATCGTCATGTGCGTTCAGTCGCGCCACCTTCGGGCCTACTACGCGCGCTGGAGCAAGACGCATAAGCGTCTGCATCCGTGCCTGCCGTTCGACAACAACGTCAGATTCCGCGCCGGGGTGTACGCGAGCATGTTCCTCTGCCTGCAGGGGGCGCTGATCGCGTGGACCGTGGCGACGGACGCGGACGGGTTCATGAGGCCGACGAAGGCGCTCTTCTTTCCGCTGCCGATGTCCATAATCGACGAGCATCCGTGGCCGTTCGTCGGCGCCACCATCGCACTGACGCTCGCCGGCTATGTGCTCTCCACGCTGCCGCTCGTCTTCCTCATCACCCTCTTCGAGGTAAACGCCGACGTTGTGCGCGGCTGGAAGCGCCACCTGGCGGCGCGCGTGCGCAACACGAGGCTCGTCGAGGAGGTGGCGGCGCTGCGACGCCAGCACTGGGCGCTAGGTTGCGTCGCGGCGGCGACGAACGCGCTCGTGTCGCCCCTGGTGTTCGCGACGGTCGCCTACAATCTCGTCTACCTCGTGCTGGCGACGTACACGGTCGTCTTCGTCNTGTGTGTGTGTGTGTGTGTGTGTGTGTGTGTGTGTGTGTGTGTGTGTGTGTGTGTGTGTGTGTGTGTGTGTGTGTGTGTGTGTGTGTGTGTGTGTGTGTGTGTGTGTGTGTGTGTGTGTGTGTGTGTCTGTGCATGTGCGTGTGTGTGCACACACGCACGCGCACAGACACACACACACACACACACACACACACACACACACACACACACACACGCTGTTATATATACATAATATCAGGGGTTAATAATGACAAATTGTCATTATTAACCCCTGATAATATGTTATAACAGAATATAACAGAACAGAACATTCATACATGTTATATTATGTTCTTAGACCAGCATAGTAATGTCATAGAAGTCTGTACATACCTAGGTCCATACCATAGAAATATATAGAGACCTATATTATTTCTACCTATATTATTTCTATGGTCGATACATCTATTTCTATGGATGATGCA